TAGCTGCGCCAACCGCAAGCCACAAGATCAGCTAAGCAAACGGACCCACCATAGAGAACTCAGTGAGACTTTCCTTTAACCTCTACTTTCTTTATGCCTGTGAAAAAAATTTTTTTTTTTTTGGGAATTACTCCCTTTTTTGATGAAGCAGCTTGTTAAATGGGGGAAGAGAAGCACAAAGGATTAAACTTATTTTTGTTTTGATGACTGATTTTATTTTTGGATATTGGGAGCCTCAAGAAAGTTTTTTATAATATTTGGAGAATATTATTTACTTGTACCTTTATGGTGCCTGGAAGGATTGAACATCTGATTAATTTCTGGGGGACACCTTTTGATAAAGGTATTCATTGTACTTGCTATCTTTTCTTCGCTGGAAAGGCTTTCATTTTGTACAAAGGAAAAAGGTGAGGAAACTGGGAGGAGATGGATATTGTGATCGCTCTTTAAATATAGTTTCCTCTAAAAGGATAAAGACTTGAAAGATAATAAAGATGGAGGAAACCGGTATAGACTTTTACAAGTATATTCTGGCTAAAATTTTGGAAAATACGGATGAGATAATTGCTTGTTCAAAGAGATTTCTTGGTATCAACAAGGAAAAAGACAAGGACTAAGTGAAACATCGGTTTATACACAAGTGGCTTGTACCTTGCTTACCGAAGTGGAAGAAGTAGACTCACAGTTGGACAATCAATTGATTTTGGAAAAAAGATTTGACATTAATGGACAAAGGACTTACGATAAGGAACTAGTTGATTTCACTTCAGAAAGACAAGTTGATCTTCAGACGCCATTTGAATGAGATAGAGGAAAAATTATGGGAAGAAGAGAAACATGTGATCAAAAGGATGACATAAAAGAAGGGACTTTAAGTGAAATTCACTCAATGTTAAAAGAAAGGGGAAATGATGTTCTGCCACAAGCCATTCAGACTAACTATAACTTTTATATTAACTTAACAAAATGCACAATGGGAACTTCTTTTTGGAGTGTATAGTGTGGCAGGCAGAGGCCCAGTTATGGAAACCTGTTTGGATTAGAAAGAAACCCAGAATAAGATATAAATATTAAATCTGATTATAGTAATGTGGTAATGGCCTTATAGTGATCTGGATTGATTTGGACTTGGACTTTGTTAAAAGGGCTTTATATGTTTTTGATACTAGAAATGGTATAATGAGAAAAGAACTGAAATATGGGAAATGATGGAATTAATTATTGGAGATTTGGAGAAATAATGAAAAACAATAGAAGATTGGTGAGAAAGAGAAGAATTTACTTTTGGAGTTCATAATGCTTAAATAAAAAAAAAAACACTTGGGGCACCTGAATAGTAAATGAATATGTTAATTTAAGATTAAATATTTGTAAAATTAAGAAAGCATGATACAGGATCTTTGGGATGGATAATGAATTTGTAAACTTTTATTGATTAATGAAATTTATATAGAGTGATATGTTCAATGAAAATTTGTTTTAGAAAGGTGTTAATGAGTCTATAATAATATAAATAGATAGAAAATGTTAGTCTATTTTAAATTATATGATTTGGATGAAATGTTATATTAGTGAATGAATTGATTTTAGATATTGACTTGATTATAATGTCTTTAAATAAATGGAGTTCACTAAGCCTAAGTTAAATGTGAGAAGAAATATAGGTTTTTATAGATTAAAGATTTTTTTTGTTTAATGTAGATGATGGTTAGACATAGTAATGAATGAACTCAATGAAAATGTACTAATCTGATTATAATATTCTATATAGATAGAGAGGGAAATGTTTAAGAAATAATGGGTATATATTTACTATATTATTGTTTGTTTTTTAAAAAATGGATCACCACGTATTCACATGGGTTCTTAAGCTGTGTTGGTGTAAAATGGAAAACTAATAAAAAGTGTTTTGAAAAAAAAGAAGTGTCCAACCTTAGCATCTTTAAAATCTGTGGACCTCATCTCCCAGAATGCCCCAGGCAGCCAGTTTGCCTGTAAAATTCTAGCAGTTGAAATCCACAAGTCTTAAAATACTTAAAACAGGTTTCATGTTCAACATGTGTTGTTTTTTTTTCCTGAATATTTTGGATTGCTTGCTTTCTTTTCAAAATCAAAGAACTGGCCACCCTGATTTATACAAACTTGAAGTCAAACAGTAGTAGGCTGTCATACATTAAAACCTATTAAATGAAAGGTGTTGGGTCCAATAAAATTTCCTTCCTCTCTAAAAACAGAGGAAGAGTTTTCATTGTCTGCATTTCTAGTTTTCAATTTGACTTTTGAGTCAATAGAAAGCAGCACAAGGTGTATCAGCCCCACTAGGTAGAGCAGATTAGGAAATCAACTCCAAAGGAAGGCTAAAATTAGTTTTATTGAAATTGGCTATAATAACAGAATCTTGCAAGTCTGATTATGTTGTGCCTCCTCCTTCCTTTTCCTTACAAATTAGTAAATTAGACAGGTTTCTATCTGAGCCACTTCCAAATGTTACCTTAAAAAATGCTTTAATCTCCTTTGCCTAGGCAACAGCTTCTCTGTATCTCTCTTGAGGTCTTCTTCCTTTCTCTCTACAGGGAATGAAAGTCAGGACTCTCAAAGGGTTTTTTTTTTTTCTTCAAAAGGCAACTGGACTGTTTTGTGTTTTTTTTTTTTCTTGCAGAAGAAGAAGAAAACATTTTGCTTCTCATGAGAAGTGAAACATTTTCTTCTTCTTCCTTAGGGAAAAAAAAAAACAGTCCAGTTGCCTTTTGAAGAAAAAAATCACCTTTTGGACAGCTATGTTCTGGATAACTGAGAATCTCCACAGACATTAAGCCAGGACTCTCTTATAGCTAGGGCAGAGATAGGCAACCTTGGCTCTTTTATAACTCGTGGACTTCAGCTCCCAGAATTCCTGAGCCAGCATGTCTCATCTTGGAAACCTCTCCCTTTCCCCTCAGCATGGCTGGCTCAGGAATTCTGGGCGTTGAAGTCCACAAGTTATAAAAGAGCCAAGGTTGCCTACCACTGAGCTAGGGGAACAGAATCCAGAAGATTGGAAGTGGCATTAGAAAATTAACCCCAATTCAAGAGGTAGAACAGAGGTGTGAAGACCTTGCCTGCTACTGGAGGAAAAAGTTTGCGACCTCCAGATTTCTATCCTGCAAACCTCGGTATTCACTACAAACTGATATTAGATTCAGGACAAAGATCTGGCAGGCATATCTTTCAGAGCTTGTGTCCTTGAGATAGGAAACTATCCTAACCAAATGTGTCAGATTTGGAAAGTGTTGTTGTGCTAAGCAATGTTTCATAGAATTGTTGAATCCTAACGTTTACTGCAGAAAAGACCAATAAAAGCACCCTTGACAAATGATGAAGACTTATGGCAAAAGAGAGCTCACCAACATCCTCAGTAATTGGTTCCACTGTCAAAGTTCTCTTACTATTAGGAAGGTTTTCCGAATTTGCTTTCCTATAACTTAAGAGCATAAGTCAATGTCCTGTACACTTAGATGGTATTGTTTTATCTTCTATGTGAGCCCCTTCCTTTATTTGATTTTTTAAAAACCTATTTATTCTAGGTCAGGGGTGTCAAACTGCCGGCCCGTGGGCCGGATGCGTCACATGGAAGCCGCGCCCACCCCATTGCCGGCAATGGCAAAACAGTCCTGCTACTGTCATGTAAAGTTGCGAGTTTGACATGTCTGTTCTAGGTGAAAGTCCTATATACAATTTGTCTCTTAAAATATTATTGCCTTTTCGTTACTTTATTTTTATCCCATTTTGTCCAATTTCTCTGCTTGAAATAATTTTGAATTTTGTTCCCATCTTCTAGACTATTAACGATTCTGTCCTATATTATATAATCTGCAAATTTGATAAGCATTTCCTCCACTTTTTATCCATGTCATTAATGAAAATGTTGATGAGATCTGGGCTCATAACCCAACCCTATGGGACTTTATTTGATATCACCTCTAGTTTGATGAAAATACATGAGGATGCTCTGAGTAAGATTTTCACATAAGAGATGTGTCAACCAGATTAGCATATTAATAAGAACATGATAGGGCTAATTTCTCAGGGGCTTTACTGAAATCAAGATATATTCTATTCACAGCATTTTTACAATCCACTGAAAAATTTACAAAATAAAATATAAGAATAGTCTAGCAAGACTTTTTCCTGAGAAATCAATGCTGATTTTGAACAATTACTGTATTGCTCCCAAGGTTACAGATTAATCTCCTCTAAAGTATTACTGGTTATTCATGTCAAACTGATTGGACTACAGTTTCCTAGGTCCACCTTTTTCTTATTTTAGGATATTTGCCTTCCATCTATCATATAATCCATTCTCTTGGTTATAGATAGTGACTTGGCCAGCCCATCAATATTCTATGATGGTCTTCATCTAATCTGAACTTATGCAAGGTAAAGCAGTTTCCCCTACCATCTTTCTTATCAATCCCAGGTGGAATTCTGATTTTTCTACTGGTTCTTTCCAAGTGCTCACTGGAACAAATGTACTCTTCTCAGCAGAAGACAGCCCAACTTTAGTTCATTCTTTTGTTATCCTTGTATTCTCTTCAATATATGGGTGGTATTGTGTGTTGTTTTGCACATTCTTACTTTGGGAGTAAGATACTAAATTTATTGGGATTGTTGTTTGTTTATTAATTTGCGTTCTACCCCAGCCAACTTTCTGCTCTGGCAAGCATTTGAGGAGCACTTCCAAGCAAATGAGTGTGTGGCACTGTGCCCTTCATGATTTTCCCCAGGGACCCCATATTCTTGATTACTATTTAGATGCAAGGCTCCCACACAGAACTGTGACAAATGGAGTATGCAATTACTCCAGAATGGAATGCCTTGATATCAATAGCAATTCCTATATATCTAATTAAAGAAGAGTGGAGGAGGTCTGACAGATACAACTGTATTTTGGCAGTTCTTGCAGCATGCTCATCTGCTATCTGGCTTCATGCCCCAGTGAATCGTAATTCTGTTCATCTCACCTTATGAGCCACAGTAAATTATCCAAAGGCATCAGTAGTCGTCAATGGCTCTGCAGTGGCTCTGTTGGAGAATGCAGGGCAAAATGCCAGTCCCCAAAGCAAAGTGCTTCACTATTTAGAAAAAAGGAAGGAAAAGTGACTGGTAGATCAGCCAAGATGATCACTATATTTCATTTCCCAAAGGAATGACATTACTCTAGAAATAGCATTTCCAATATTCAAAATTCAAAATGACTCTAGTCAAGCACTGAGGGGGCTCAAGTGGAATTAATGAAGTTAATCAGCCTTACTTTTCATTAGCTCTTAAGAATTTGGTTAACAATCCAGTGCTCCCATTCTCCCCATTCATGCCCGCTCTGCTTTTATGATGCTCTGCAGAATGTATTCTGTATGTCAGACTAACTTTTGAACCAACTGCAAGATTTGGTTCAGTTCTTGCAGACTCAGAAAAGGACCTAAGATGCCATGATCAGTTCAGAGGCCAACTGATTTTGTGAGAGGCGCAAATACTCGTGCTTCCTACTGTCTCAGAAAATCCACAAATGACTTCAACCTTCTTGCTTGTTTGCTCATTTTGTAGAACGGGATGAGGTTTGCAGGAATAAGCAACCTTTCCATGAGACGATGAGATCTATTATATTTCTGAAAGCTGTGGGGATTTTTTGTTATGTGTCAATTCTGTTAAAATGGCAAAAATGTACATAACTCTTTTTATTTCATGGCAGAATTGGAAACTAATTGCAAAGGAAGTTGTATGTCATACTGAGAGTTTATTTTATTTATTAAATTTATATGCCTCCCATCTCACTTACAAAGCAAGTCTGGGCAGATTAGTTAAAATCACAAATATTAAAGTATTAACAACAATTAATACAAAACTAAAAAACTGAAGCAAGGCCAAGGACGACAACAACAACAACAACAATAACAACAATAATAATAATAATAATAATAATAATAATAATAATAATAATAATAGCAGAATAGAAGAGAAGAGAAAGAACTGGAGAAGATAACAAAATATAAAGACCTACAAATAGAAATAGAAAGACTTTGGCAAAAGCAAGCAAAGGTAGTACCAATAGTCATAGGCTCCTTGGGTGCAATCCCAAAACAACTGGAGCACCACTTGAACACCACTGGCATTGACAAATTCGCTATTAGTCAATTGCAAAAGGCGGCCTTATTAGGAACTGCTTCCATCCTGCGACGATATCTGTAATACCATCAAACATCCACATCTGCCTATCCCAGGTCCTGGGTAAGGACTCGATAGGTAGACAAAATGCCAAATCCAGTCTGAACATCTGGCTGACTGTGCGATGATCGATAATAATAATAAAGTTGGAAGGGACTTTGGAGGTCCTCTAGTCCAACCCCCTGCTCAGGCAGGAAACCCTATACCATTTCAGATAAATGGCTGTCCAGTCTCTTCTTAAAAACTTCCAGTGTTGGAGAATTCACCGCTTCTGGAGGTAGGTTGTTCCATAGCACAAAGGTGGCACCTTCCCTATTAATCCAGCCACCTCCAATATAGAATGCCCCCAAGCCATCCAACAGGTTTAATGCCCCTCTGGACAGCCAAAAGGAAAGTACAGTATGCTTCAGCCAGTCTGGGCAAAACCCAGAAGGGTGTCTATTGGGAGATGTAAGGATGGGATCAAGTACATTGGTAGAAGAGATGGGAAAAACATGGTGACAAGGGGACTACTGAATTCCATGGCCTTTATGACCCATCATAGTAACAACTGGAAGAAAACAAATCAGGAAGCTGCTGATCAGTTGAGTACATAGCAACTTAGCAATCCAAAATAAAATGACCATATAGGACAGTGACCAGATATAAAGGATTGGCCCCCATACGAGGGGAGAGGACATGGCAGGTTCTGTAGCAAATTGGATTTGGGAATGTCTGTAAAGTAAAATAAAGTATAGTTAGACTTAAGATGACTTGAGCCAGGCTAGAAAATAGTAGTTTTGAAGCAAAGGAGTTGCATTTGCAGTGGGCTGAGAATGATTGAGGGATAATGTTTTCCATTCCTGCCCTGAGGAAATGATGGCTAGTCTGTACTGATGATGGGATAAGAAGGAAGTGCTGATCTAATCTTTAATTTATTATTTGTGAGGTTTCCAAAATGATTCCCATATTATTTTGGAGAGTAGTTATGAAATAGAGAACATGGACATGGATATTTTAAGAACCTGGATACTTTCCAAGTACAAATAGTGGTATTTGTAGACAGAAAAGTCATCAAAAGTGGAGGATGGGAATTATATGTACTTGGAGGGTACTTTGCATGATATTTCCTAAAGACTAAGCATATCCCAAATCCATAATTCAAAATATTGAGACAAGAAATTCAATGGCAAAAAGTTTCCATTAACAAAAAATAGTGTAAGCCACAGTGATTGTTTATTTTCTGCTTAGCATTAAAATAAGAGAAGGTGTGATAAAACAACTACCATGTTCTTCCCAGGCTAAGTCTAACTGGGACATCCTCTTGGTGGTCTCAAATAAAGTACTTACCAATTGTGAATTGCTATGGTATTTTTGTTTTTATCACTAGCATATATCGGGTAGGTTTTATCAAATTAAGCTGGGCATATGATGTTTAAGTGGTTTTTGCACTGCTGTTTATTTTGTTTTAAATTTCCCCATTCTATTAAGGTAGTCGTGCATGTTGCAATGAAACAACAAAGAATCTTGTAGGTCTTTAAAGACTAGCAAAATAGATGTGCTTTCCGGGATAACAACCTATTGCAACAGATGCCGCAGCCCACAAAATGTTATGCCATAATAGAGCCATTAGCATTTAAGATGCCATAAGACCCCATTGTGTAGTTTATACTTATTGCGTTTATATGATTATTAGCCACTTTGAGCACCATGTGGTGGAAAGCAGGGATCAAATTTAACAAAGCATGTTTACTCAGAGGTAACTCCTGTCAATTTTCAGGAGATTTAAAGTAAAATCCCTTTAAGTCACGTTGGACTACATAGGCACAATTTCTATTTGAATACTATGGAAGGATTTCCCATAGCTGCCTTCCTGGATGCTTTATTAATTCCCAGTCTAGCCTACACCCTTGGTAGTAACAAGTGGTTCCCATCTAATACTAAGAGACCCAATCTTGCTTTTTTTTTTTTTGAGATTATTCAAGACTGGCCCGATACTTATTAATGAAATTTGATTTATTCATTATGTGCCATCAAGTCAGCGTTAACTTGAAATGGCCACATACATAGACTTTTCCAGAATAAACTGTTACCTTCAAGTCTTCATAGTCCACCAAAGTTCAGAAACATGGTTATTCTTTCTATCCTAGTCCTTCAAAGTCCAATTTTCATTTCCAATCTATTGGCCATTGTGACATTCTTCCCATTTGCTGACATAGTTTGTTAGAACTTCACAGATTTTTGTTCCTGTTTCTTGCCATATTCCATCAACTCCTCTAGCCTTCCAGTTTAATAACTTTGTCTTCTAGCGATTCTTTTAATTTCTAGTATTAGAAATTCTTATAAATAGGGAATATCTCTTAAGGTATCTTGGATATTGACAACTATTATCAACGGTATTTACTAAGGAGATGTATGTACTATTTAAACATTTGTCTAAATCATTGGCCAGAGCTTGCTATGCATTATGATGCCTTCTGCTTTAATCTAGAGTAGAAAATTCTAATACTATATCTTTTATATAAGGCAGAGATGCTTCCAATGTGATGCAAAAGAATTGGGGAGGTGGGAGGAAGTGGATTTTTCAGGAGAGCTGGGAATGAGCCTGGCTCAGGGTCACCCTGTCTTGAATTATTAATACTTTTCCACCCTGCTGAACATGTTTTTTCTGGCTGTCCTTGGTGAATCTCATGTAACAAGATTAAGCAGATCCAATAAACTTCCATTCTTCCCCTCCCTATCACAAATAAGCAACAGAATCTTCCTGCTGCCTAGAAAAGCATAGGCAAAAGAATATTATACTGTACATTAGTACTGCCTGCCTTCACCCTTCACCATGGCTCTCAAAATTAATCAGAGCAGCCATTTCCATTCGTGGCCCCAGATCAGTTTCCAAGGTCTGCTTTCTTGCAACCTATTGACATTACTTGTTTTTGGCATTATCTGAATGAAGACTCACAGTCAATATGGATCAATAGAAATTTTCATAGGTCTCTGCCCCATTGAGCAACACATATCATCTCCAATTATGGTTTTAAAGCACCACGGAATATCTATGTCATCATAGCCAAAATAATCCTCAAGGAAAAGACAAAACAACACCTTTCACCCATGTTTTGGCAGAAAAGTAGTTTGCTAACTACTTATGCATATGTGTATGTGACAAACTGCTACATATGTTCTCTGGGGATGTGATAGAAATGATATGGACAGGGTGAGTGAAAGGGGAATGAAAAGATTAAAGCAGAAAAGTTGAGAATAATTAATTTAGGTAAAACTTAATAAAATTTTAACCAGCCCAATAAGAATTCAAGTTAAATCACTTTTATTAAGCAAAATCTTTAATAATAAAGGTGCTTCATTTCAATTCTCTGTTTTCTGGTAAACTTCTTCCAGCTAACTTTGAAAGCAAACTGCCATAAAGATATGTGGTTTTAATATTGTTAGTGCATGATAAAGCACTGATTGCTCATTTGAAGGTCATTCAGGATACATAAATTTCTGGAAACCTAATTTCACTGGGATGGCCTTTCACAATCTGGAAGATGTCTGGGACTGCAACCTCCAGCTTTGCACATAATTAGGTCTGCTTGCTGGGGTTGATGAGAGCTGGATTTTAAAATCTCAGAAAGATGCCTTATTGAGAAAGACTGCTTATGATCCAGGAACAGGAGAACCCATGGATGCTTCTTTGGCTCCATTCTCCTTTTCTACTCAAATCAATGGTCAGAACTTTTTTGTGAGATTAGACATAGCTAGATGCTAGCTAGATAACTAGAATGATATCTAGATAGCTAGAATGATATCTAGATAGATAGATAGATAGATAGATAGATAGATAGATAGATAGATAGATAGATAGATGAAAGAAGTTAAGGAATACTTCTAGTGTCTGGTTTGACTGTTACTGCATTGGTCTGTTGGAGAAAAGAATGAATACAGTGAAAATATAAATGAATACAATGGAAACATAAATGTGGGAGATTCATCACCTTTACAAAATAGCTGCTGTCAACAGAGATAAACCATCGTTTCTAATCATAAAGGAGAGGATGGGTTAAAGTCTTTGATATTCAGTCCTTGAC